AGATTCTATTAAAAGAACCGCCACAGTTCGAGATTTAGCCCACACTCGGCGGCCATATTTGATCCCCACCGCGGCGTACTGCTCGTGGCGCCGCGAAGAGAGAGAGGAGGCTCCATTAGTTCTAAACTCCTTGCTTTTGCCCAAAGTAACGAGACATTTCTTTGGTAACAAACGAGGGAGGGAATTCTAACAGCGACCCCAAAAAGTCGCGCTCGCCCACAGACAAAGTGGTGGCTCTTGATTGAAAGTGGCTTATTGGGTCAAGTGCAAGGGGGGACGTAAAATTTACGATTGGCCTACTCTTCTTATCTCTCTTTTTTTTCTCTCTTTCAATTCGTTTTCCAGAAACACCACTCACGCACCATTCGTCGCCCGTGGATGTTGCCGATGTCGGAGAAGTTAGTCGTTCCAACCAAACCAAGACAAGACTGAGTACTGACACAACGACCTCCCCTCCCCCTCCACCCCCCACACACACCACCACCACCACGGCATGTGTGTTTCATTACTGCACTAGGCTAGGCTACTAATGTGTCACTAACTGGTGACTGCCATCAGGACGTTTTGGAGACGCTACACACAAGACGTTGTGTTAGTATTACAGAGCAGCCTGCCAACGATTGTCTTGAAAGTGTGAGACTTACATAAATAAAGGAGACGGGGATTTCAATTGTGTGAAGTAGTGTTGAATCTGTTCCTCCTAAAAATCGACTTGGATGGAAAAAGAGAAAAGAAAAAGTAATAATAGATCTAGATCTAGTATCAGTATCTGTGGTCTCAGGAAAGGTGTTTAGAATATGGATTTTCGTGTTGCCTCTGTCAGCGTGTGTGACTATTATGCCTAGCCGAAGCCGAATATGAACATCATAAACCGGACTGCTTTTGCAGAGTTTTAGTTTTAGTAAAAGTGTGGGTTTTTTTTTCACGGCAGTTGCAACACAAATAGGTCTTCACATCAGTGACGTCAGACTGTTTAGATCACGTGACCAGGTGGTAGCAATGCCAGGAAGATGGTGGCTACACTCACAGGAATATCTGCGGAAGAAAAACTGACGTCAGAGACAGGCGGTGACGTCACGGCGAGGTATGGGACTGTGGAGAGGAACGGACGAGTGGGGCAGGAGGAGGAGGAGGAGTGTCGGAAGGAGGGAGGAGACGGGAGGAGAAATGTGGTCGTGGATACAGAACAGGCGGAGCTTATTGGTGGAGGGGAGGAGAGGACCCTTACGTGAGTATATGGGGGAAGGGGTAGGGGAGGGAGAAGGAGGGAGGGAGGGGGAAGGAGAGGACTTTTACGTGAGTATATGGGGGAGGGAGAAAAAGAAAAAAGAGGGAACGAGAGAGGAAGAAGGAAAGAGAGAGAGAGATA